AATTTTGTGTTAATGGCAATTTTTATTTAAATATTATTTAATAAATATTATTTATTTTTTATTTAATTTCTCAAATCGTGGATAATTAAGGAAATAGTTAGACCATAAAAATTTACATTTTTAAGATACCCTAATACGCAGATTGTGTAAATTTGATTGATTTATTTAATTATAATTTCTTATAAAATTATTCTAAATAATTGTGTTATTGGTATTTTCTATGTAATTATTTTTTAATAACTATTTTTTGGGGGTTTTTTTTTATCCATTAAAAACGTGTTGTACGTTGTGCAATTAATTTCGTGGTTAAAATGAATATCATTTTTTGTATTTTGCCGATAAAGTATGAAATCGAATTATTTGTTATATTATATATTGATCCAATATACCCGCTTATGTTAATAAATGTGCAATATAGATTATGTGATTTGGTAAAAAAATTTCAACTAAATTGTATAATTTATCTTTTGATAAGTGTTTTATATTTTTCGTGTAATTCTTTTCTGAAATACATCTTTAATATACCTTAATTACGCAAATTGTGTAAATACGACTGATTTATTCGATTTGTAAATAATTACTAATATTACAGAAATATCGACAAAATTAATTAATTATGCAGTTTGCAAAAAACTGTTCTAAAAAAGTTGTGTTAATGACTATTTTTATTTAAATATTATTTAATAAATATTATTCATTTGTTTATTTAATTTCTCAAATCATGGATAATTAAGGAAATAATTAGAACATAAAAATTTACATTTTTAAGATACCGTAGTTATGCAGATCGTGTAAGTTTGATTGATTTATTTAATTATAATTCCTTATAAAATTATTCTAAATAATTGTGTTATTCGTAGTTTCTATATAATTATTTTAATAACTATTTTTTGGGTCTTTTTTTTTATTTTTGTTCATAATAAATGTGTTGTACGTTGTGCAATTAATTTCGTGGTTAAAATGAATATCAGTTTTTGTATTTTATTGATAAAGTATGAAATCTTATTATTTGTTATATTATATATTGATCCAATATACCCGCTTTTGGTAATAAATGATATCCTAATATTTTGTTTCCATATTGTTAAGCATTTTTCTTGATATAAATGAAAGAAAAATTTGGATAATATTATGGTCGATTATTCTTTATAAATGTGCCTGGAACATATCAAATTATTTTGTGTGTGTGTGTGTGTGTGTATAAAGGTTTGTTTTTACTTAAATCACATTGTAGCCAAATCAAATTTCTGAATAAAAATTTTAAAATAACACATATTTTTAAATGAATATAATGTAACTTATTATAAGTTATTTGCACCGTACAGGTCATGTATTAATTTTAGATAGACATATTCTATATAATTTTGCACAATTTAAATTTCATATAACATTTTTAACAAATTAATATAGGTAAATTGTATTATATCCAAAATTCAACTTATGAAACCCCAGAGAATAAGCTCTTCCAGACAGCCCCCTTAAAAGAAGGAATTGGGGATCCCAGTATATTGATTCCATATTTCTAATTTATAAATATTATTTAATGAGCATTTGTAATTTATAAATATTAATGAATATTTCTTATCCGTGCATCGCACGGGATTTGTACTAGTTAGTGATTAAAAGACTTGCATAACCATATGTAGCAAATTAGAAAAATATTAAAAAATAACAAACTGATTGTAACACGCATTTCATAACACGCATTTCAGTTTTAGATAAAACTATTAACACCATTTTTAAACTAGTATTCTAAATTTAACTTAAATATTCTGATATTTATTTTTGTAAAAAAATATGCATATCTTTTTAATTTAATATCCGTACAATATACAAATGTTGTACTAGTTTATTTATACTCCTACACTCGGAGAATCGACGTCAGCATCTCGTTTCGAGATTAATTCATGACATTTCAGGTCATAATTTTCAAGGCTAAGTAAAAATATGCGCAAAGTTTTTTTTTCTTTTGTTTTTTTTTTCTTGTAAATTACAATTCGTTAAAGAATCTACAAAAGCTCCAGCCAAGTATTCCAAGTACCTGGGACTTCCACTGGGGATAGGTAAATCCAAAAAAGACACTTTTGCTTTCATTAAAAACTGTGTGTTATCCAGGATCTCAAACTGGAAGAATGTTGTTTTGAGTGAGGCAGGGAGAGAGACATTAATTAAAACAGTTCTAGTTGCCTTGCCAGTTTATGCTATGTCTGTGTTTAAACTCCCAGTAGGTTTTTGTAAAGAGCTAGATCAGCTTGTGGCAAATTTTTGGTGGGGTAAGAATAAGGAGGGTGGGAATAAGATTCACTGGGTTCAATGGGAGAAATTAGCAATGCTTAAGAGTGAGGGGGGGTTGGGCTTTAGAGTGTTTGAGGATTTTAATATAACTCTTATTATTAAGCAATTATAGAAATTGCTTACTAAGTCAAATATCTTGATGAGCAGGGTTATTAGAGGTAGGTATTTTTATAACAAGAATATCATATCTGTGGTTAAAAAAGATACAGATTCTTGGTTGTGGAAAGGGTGGTTAGGGGTTAGGGAGTATTTGGGGGTAGGGGTTAGGTTTTTGGTGGGGAATTGACTGTCTGTCAATATTTGGGAGGATCCTTGGCTGCCTAATGTTCCAAATTGTAAACCTGTTTTCCATTACCCTGCAGACAAGCTGAGATTGCACAAAGTGGCAGACCTTTTTATTGCAAGGATAAAGGAATGGGATAGGGAATTGGTGTTGCAGACTTTCTCTCCCTATGAAGCAGAATAAATCCTGAAAATTCATCCCAGTATCATGGGGAGACCTGACAGACTGGTGTGGCAACTAAATAAAAAAGGAGTCTTTTCAGTAAAGGAGGTGTATCGGACTATCAGACAACAAAAAGTGGCTAAGCAGGATCAAGCTGAGTGCAGTTCAAGGAGGAGTCAGGTACAGACTTTCTGGAAAAAGACTTGTAAATTGCTAATAAAAAATAAGATAAAGAATTTCCTGTGGAGATGTTATCACAACTGCCTAGCCACACTAGAAAATTTGCAGAGGAAACTTAATGGCACAGATGCTGTGTGTGGTTGGTGTGGAGAAATCAGGGAAAATTTGGAGCACATCTTCTTTCATTGTGAGAGGGCAAGAAGAGTATGGAAGATAGCTGGGCTCTCATGGAACAGATTGCAATGTGCTAAGATAAACTTCCAAGAGTGGTGGGAAGAGGTTTGTAAGTTGAAAATGGCAGGCAGTGGCAAGGATAGAATAACACTATCCACATACCTCCTTTGGTGGATGTGGAAAACCCGGAACGGTTGGCTCTTCAACAAGGAATGGATATCTGAGAGACAATTGGTCAAGCAAGCCATGCAAGAGTGGAAGGAATATGAAGCCATCAATTATACTCAATCACATATGCAGCTACAAGGAGTAGGGGTGCAAGTAACTGCACTCATTGCTAATGTAGTTCCTTGCAATGGTGATAGGGTTAGAGGATAGGCTTGGACCAATGAGCAAAGTGTGGAAAGATGGACTTGTTCTGGGTGTGAAGTGCAGGTAGATGAAGAAGAAGAGCTGCTACTTATCAGGAAATGGCTGAAAACTGGAGCAGACAAAGGGTGGCAGAGAGTGGAAATCCTGGTGACACATGCAAAACTGAGGCATAAGCTTATAAATCAGGAAGTCTTCGATCTGTATCTGTCAAATGTGGTAGCAGATATCTTTCTTCTTCTCAAATCTATAGGGTCATGGACTTTTGTTGATTACATGTAGTTTCTTTTTTTTTGTCTTTGTTCTTGTTTTGTAATTTATTAGGTTGGATGTTTGTGGCCGCTCTGGTCTTTGGGGGGAAGTTATGCATACTCCTTTGGGTAGCTACTTTCGGAGGATTTCCGGTTGACAGTATGCTTGTAACCTTTTGGTTATCGACTTGTACATTGTGAGTTTATCTATAAAATTTGATGTTCGATTAAGAAAAAAAAAAAGAATCTATTAATATATAAAGAAACAATGATATTTATTGGAAATAGCAACTAAAAATCAGCAAAAAAATATGTAGTTTCTCGCCTAAAGTACTTACTATATTGAGTAATATTTTTGGCAAAAATTAAAAAAATCTCGCCTAAATTAATGTAGAGAATCATTTTGGTCAATAATTGCGGCTATTACCTTTATTAGTTGCATGATTCAAATTTGGAATATAATATATTGACAAAACTTACAGCTATTACCTTTATTGGTTGCATTGTTTAAATTTTGGATATAATATATTAAAAAAAAGTTATTTATTTAGAATTTATAATAAAAAAATAATTATACATAACTTATAGGTCAATATTAACTTGGACGTAAACGAAATAGTCAATTATTTATAGTTTAATAAATTACTCAACTACTTAATTTTTTTTATTTGAATAGTTTATACAACAAAAAAGTATTTTAAGTAATGAAACAATATAAATTTTATATTTATACTTACTATTCACATAAGTTGTTAAAAATATGATAACATTTTACCAAAATAACTATTTTATGGAATTACATTATAATTAAATCAAATTTTTGAATAAAATTTTTGAAATGATACTTATTTTGGAACGAATACACTATTATTTATTATCAATTATGTGCACCACATGGGTTGTGTACTAATTTTAATAGAAATTTTTATATAATTTTGTACAATTCAAACTTTATATAATATTTACAATAAATTAGTATAGGTTATTGATTACATATTGATTCTATATTTTTAACTTATAAACATTACTTAATAAGAATTATTAATATATAAATATTAATGAATATCTTTTACTCGTACACTGCACGAGACCCATACTAGTACTATTAACAATAAATACAAATTTTCAATTTCACATCACATCCCATATAAGAATTTAAATATGACAACTAAATAAAAAATAAAATCCAAGCACCCAACAACTCATAATACCAATTATCAACGCATATAAATAACAAATTAAAATAATAATAATAAAAAAAAACAAAATAATAATAATCAACAGCAATGGATTACGTCACCGTCTTCCCCCTCAGTCTGAGATATCCACATCACAATCAACCCTCTTAAAACCCTCGGTCGAGTTAAACAACACCGTCACCGACCCGCAGAAAGCCTTCAGCTTCCGGTGGATTTTGAAAACCCCAACCTTCATCCTAATCTTAGCCCTAATTTTCAGGTCCACCTGGATCTGCCCCGCCGCCCGCTCCATCCTCAGGCCCTTTGCCACCGACCCGTGCACCGCCGCGTCCTTCGGCGTCAGGTACAGATCCAGATGAGTCACGCTCCGCCTGGGCTGGTAGAACGGGTGCACGTCGTTCGTGGACAGCACTCGGTCCTGATACAACACAGTTGCGTCGATTTTGTCGTAGTACAGGGAAATCCTCCGATTGGGGTTGTTCGCGCGGAGGACGAATTGGAAGTTGGCGTTCAGGAGGTCGTTTCTGGTCAAGTTGTAGCCTGAGATTGAGCCCTTTCCGATTGTGTATCTCAGCTTCCTGGGCTGCACGACCAGCCAGGCAATGAGGACAGCGAGCCCGACGAGTACAATAAGGGAGAGTAAGGCGCCCAATATCGGCCGGATCAGGGGCGAGTGGCGTGGACGCGCCGCCGGCCTGGGAGCGGATGTTGTTGGTGGCATGGTGAGTGGATTATTATGGATTAATGAATGTTTCCGATTTGGCGGCTTTGCGTGGTGGGGATTAAGCAAAGTTTGATCATTTTATATAGGGTAAAAAGATGGTGGATTTTCTTGTTTTCATATTTGTTATTGGAAATAAATTATGTTTTGTTGAGCCTTACAATTACTTGCATGGAACTCAAGAAATATGCGAATAATGGAGAATGGGGGATAAATGATGGGTAGCTGGAAGTTGATATTCTTGTCTTGCACAATTCGAAGACTGTCTTTTTAATGCAAATTTTCGAACTTTATAGCCTACGGATAGGTATGAATTGCTTTGCAAACAAGGTATTCTAAAACCATCTTTAAAGTTTTTCCTGTTGCCTTGAATATGAACACTAGCTGTCTTTACAATTTTTTGGATGTAAAGCTTGTTTTCTTATCAATTGAATCAGAAAATTTGTGTTTCTTTAGATTATGCTGTATGAGACAAATATAATTTTATTAACTCGTGGTGAACCCAAAATATTCCTGGGGTGATATGGCTCTTTGTAGTTGGACAATAAACGGCTTTTAGTGGGTCGACCTTGACCAAAAATCCGTAAGTTGAGCGGGTTGATTATATCGATGGCGTCCATGGTGGTCACTATAGGCCAAATTGTTGACTAACGGCTTATTAGACAAAAGTATTGGCCAACCGAGCTACCATAACAGGTCGCGGATTACTCACACGACCGACCTAAACAAGATAGGACATTCTTGGCCAACAAATAATCCTCCTCTTTTATAAGGGCAATGTTTTTACCATAAACATGTTAAGATAGGACATTCTTGGCCAACAAATAATCCTCCTCTTATATAAGGGCAATGTTTTTACCATAAACATGTTAAGATTCCTTACGGTGATATTCTTACCAGACTAAAGACTACTCATATTATCATACTTGACTAAGAAACCAACTTGATAGTTGGAGCATTTTATGTCGGAAAAATTCTTGAAAAATAACCTGGCGAATCAGCTAGGTTGACTCAAAACAAGGAAATGGATTTGTGATCCCGAACTAGAGTCATTTACGTCAAACCGGAGTTAGTGGATTAATACATTATCAAGTGATGTCTGTGGGAAAACCAACACGATCAAAATTGAGACGACGGTGTTTCTCATATATCTTTTGAAAAGAAGAAAGAGGACTGGATAACATATACGCTGGATAGAGAAGGAGCTCATTGTGTACTGCTCAACGACGACACATGGCTGCACACTCGGCCTATGGGGGGCAGGACCACCATTGGGATGGCTCACGCATGAGGAACCACCAAGGACTCAACGAATCGCGACGCCAACAAGGGACGATCGAAGGGCCCCGACCAAGGGGCCCAAGTTGGCATAAGGAGGTGGATCGACGGACTCGAGGAGATCAACTTAGGATCACCGCCACGTCAAGAAGGTGTTGAAGGGAGGGATAGGACTTACGCTCGTGAACGAGGAACAAATCCGCATGGAGATAGTTGACCTCCCGTCGTAGAGTCATTCATACAAGTCACTAGAACCGAGCTGAAAAGGATGGTCGCCGAGGTGGTGGCGGCGCATACTGAACATGCCCCAATCCTTGCATAAAAAATGATAGCTTGAGCAGTGGAATGACGCGTCATGTCGAGGTAAGAGGGTGAAGAGCCTAATGATTTATTAACTCATCACGTGGTACGTCGTAGGCTCGACGAGTTACAGGAGAAGATTGAAGTGCGTCGGGTCCTATACTCTATGGGTGCCCACAGATGAAGTACTTGACAAAGACCTATTGCATGGGTTTCGCAAGCTCACGTAGCCGTATGATGGATCAACTGACCCAATTCACCTAAGGGCTTCAGAAACATGGTTGCGATGTACAAGTAGAGCTGTTAAATTAAACGAGTCGCTCGTGAGCTTGGCTCGACTCGTTAACGCTCGAGCTTGGCTCGACTTGTTTGATAAATGAGTCGAGTTGTAGCTCATTTAAAGCTTGTTTGGTTAACAAGCTTGACTCAGCTTGAAAAGATGATTTTTATGTAACGTTATGTAGTTTGGCTTGTTAAAGTTGTATTCAAGCTCGTTAATATTGATAATCGAGATGAGCTATAGCTCGATTATGAGCTTGTTATGTTTACAAGCCTAGCCGAGCTTGGCTTGCTAAGAACTCAGGCTCGAGCTGGAGCTCAGCTCTGCTCGTTTACACCCTTATGCACAAGTACAGTGCAACATCCCGCTACTTAGGGCCAATTTTTCGCAAATTTTACTTTCAAAAACGCTTAAAAATTTTCGAAATCGTTTGCAAACTCTCTCGGGATGCTGCTAAAAACTTTTTAGCTTAAAAATCCGTTTTCTTTAAAATAAGTCTATCAACTGGTTTAGACTTAAAGAAAATCAGATTAATATTTTATCGAATCAAGCATGTAAAATTGGACCCGTTCGTACTGGCGAACTGAGTAAAACTTTAGCGTCTGAAAATACTGTCATGCAAGTTCGAAACGGAAATAAACGTAGCGGAAGTCTGAAAATGCGTGGTCATAATAGTTATACAAAACATAGTAAACAAATGTCCACAGATCGGCTAGCTGTGCCAAATCCACGACAACAACCACCACACTGCCCTCACGCCTGCCCGCCGACCCTGTCATCTGGAAAAACATAATGGGGCTGAGTACTGGTCCCTTTGTACTCCATAAAAACCCAAGCTAAAGTAAACATCAATAATAATAATGATATCACAGAACTGGTATATATAAGTAAACTGAAATCTCTCGAAAAACTATGGCCGGTAACTCCCGGAACACTCTGGCCGGTAACTCCCGGACTCTCTAGCCGGTAACCGTGTGCACACTCTGATGGTATAATTATGGCGAACTGGGCCACCACCAGAACTTAGGGAAGGCAAGCTCGGCCTTAACCCCAAGCGAATAAAACTCATATACATACCTGAACATGATATCGACTATTATACTCAATGTATAACCCAGACTGGGTCCCCACCTGATCTGCTTTGAAAATAGGTAAGTGCGGTTGTGCTGGTAACTGACTCCTCAAGCTACAAAAAAGTATAAGCAAACAAATATACTAAGTACTATGCTCGTCATATGCTCAATTATATGCTAAGATGCTCTACTCTATCTGATTACTCAACCGGATCTAAAGGAACGCTCTATGGGTTCACTAAAATAACTCTAAATCTGGAAATTAGACTGATATACTTAACTGATTTGGTTTGGCTCAGAAAAATACTTAAATTTCGGAATAAAACTCGGACCGAAAATCACGAACCAAAACTGACTCGAACCGCCGGCTGAACCGGCCGGTTCGCTCACTAACTGAACCGGGTTAGGCTGAACCAGACCGGGTTGGACCGCTGGGTCACCCTGGACCGGGTGGTCACGGGCTGCATGGACTGGCTGGGCTCGGTCCCGCGCAGGGCCTGCTGGTACCCTGGCGGCGCGCTAGGCACAGCTAGGTGCAACCGGGCCTCGGTGCTGGGCGCCACTCGGATGCTACTGGGCACAGTCGAGGTCGACTGGTTGCTGGGCCGTGCGACTGGGCACTACCGAGTGCGACTGGCACAAGAACTGACGAGGCCAGAACTATTCGCGCGGCTCTAGCGCGGCTGGGCTGTTAGGGCGCTGCCGGGCGACCCTAGGCACGCGGGCGTGCTGCTGGGCACGTACCAGGCCAATTGAGCACTCGGGCGTGCTGCTGGGCACGACACAAGGCCTACTGGACACGGCACTTGGCTTACTCCGCATGGCACGAGCGACTGGCTCGAAGCCACGCATGCATTGATGCTGGGACAATGCTACCGGGCGCTGTCGGAGGTGCTTAGGCGCGACTGGCGCCAAGACCTCGCACACTGGCACGGGCAGGCGCTGCTGGGCACTGTCGCGTGCGCTGGGGCTGATTGATGAGGATGTGGTCATCGACCCATCCGAGCCCGAGGACGAGACGCGCATGAGCCATGGGAAGAAGCGCGCGAGAGCCCGCGACAACCATCGAGACCGCGCTAAGAGAGCTCGAAGAGGCTATGAACATGAGACTTGGGCCGATGATGAGAGTGAGAAGATCGTGCAGGGGAAAGTGGGCGAATGGTGTAGAGCATGTGCGAGAGATCGGCGCAAGCAACGCATAACGGCTAAAGCAAAAAGTGCACGAGGGGAGGATGTAGGGATGCTAGCGTGCACTTGGGACGGCTGCGATGAGGCGGACGCACGAGTGAAGTGGGGTGTTGTGATGGGCTCGACGAGCGGGTGCGAGCAAGGCGCGATGACGGGAATCACGCGCGAGGCGCTGGACAAGCATGGGCCAGCGGGCGTGAGCAGCACGCGTGCGGGTAGAAGGGATGCGACGCGCCAGATATCGAGCAGGCGAGAGGATGATGCTGAGGGCGCGAGCGTGCGTGACAACCGCGCAAGGCGTGACGCGCGAGACACGCGGGGGCTGGCAAGCGCGAGTCCACGAAGGACTAGGAATATCGCAACGCCTACGACAGGACCGCGCGACTTGAGGCACAAGGCAGGAGACGCGTGCGACGTGTGGGGCGCGGGAGAAGGCCAAGACCTCGGAGGACAAGGACTAACCGTGACGGCTAGGGTTTGGGCAAGGCGCGCGACACAATGGAACGCGCCATCCTTCTAGAAGGCCTAGGGCCGATTATCACTAGCATAATAACAATCATAGTTTGGTTAGAACATTGAATAAAAGGCATGTGCCTAAGTAGTTTTGGTAAGTCTATATTTACTAGATATTTACTTTCCTTAGGACTTTATTTGTTTACTTGCATTAGGAGTTCTTCTTAGACTATGATTAGATCTATTTGGTATCTATAAATACCCATATATGTCATTCAAAATTTATGATGGAAAAGTAATAGAAAATCGTTTGTAAGAACAAAACCGTGTGTTTAGAATTCGTGAGAGTGTTATCATACAACCGAGTTGGCTAGGCTTAGACCCGAACCATCTCAAAATCGTGAGAAGATAAGACTAATAACCGAGTCGTCCACACCTATCGTCGAAGGATAAGCCGTGGCAAAGCTTAGTTCAAGACAAACGAGTTGGAAAAACACACGATCCTTCATCATTGGTGCTTTCATTGAGAGGTGTTGATCGTGTGTTTTGTTTAACTTTTTCTATCCTCTTCTTTTTTTGAATTTTTCTTTCTTTTCGAGAGTTTGGTTCATGAGTTTCAGGAAAAAAAAAAATATAGAAAAAAAAAAGAGAGTCGAGAGAGATTCGAGATGTTGGAGGAAAGCATGAGGTCCCTTGGTGATGGACAACACGCGGCCAACGAGAATTTTGCGAAGCTCGAGATCATGGTGCACGACTTAGCCGCACAACTTGCTCGAGCCACAAGACGACCGCGAGGGAGTCATAGGTCGTGTTCGACCACGGCTCGATCGAGTAGCTCCGAGTTCGACCGCGATGACCACGACCGTCGATCGAGAAGGACGCGAGCTTCAAGTCAACGCGAGGAGAGGAAGGTCGAGAAGCCGAGGCTTACTATGCCTACGTTCACGGGAACCGACCCAGACGCGTGGTTAAGCCGAGCCACGCAATATTTTGAGATCAATGACGTGCCCAAATCCGAACGAGTCAAGATCGCCGCATACTATCTCGATGGTGAGGCGAACATATGGTGGCAATGGTCTCACACGTCTACCAAGACAAGGGCGTGAGAGTACATTGGAGGGATTTCGAGAAGGAGATCATTACGCGATTTGGTTCGAGCCAATACCACGAGTATGACGAGGCACTCACCCGTATACGTCAAAGTGGTAGTCTCCGAGATTACCAAAAGGAGTTCGAGCGCCTAGCTAGCCGCGTGCGCAATTGGCCCGAAAGCGCATTGGTTGGTGTGTTTGTGGGTGGGCTCAAACCCGAGCTGGCCGCCGAGGTTCGAGTAGACCGACCGAGGTCGATGCGAGCTGCTATGGAGTCGGCACGAATGCGAGAGGACCACCTGGCTGCGGTCCGCAAGACCAGTCGAGGAGACGGACACACGGAAACACGGCGCGCGAGCGCAGTTCCCGAACCGCAGGTCGAGAGTACGAAGGTTACCGAGGTGACACGACCGCCGAATTACATGCGGCGTCTAAGTCACGATGAGATGCAAAGGAGGCGTGAGAAGGGCTTATGCTTCTCGTGCAATGAGCCGTTCACGCCCGGGCACCGATGCAAAGGTAAAGAAGTTTACCTACTCGACACATACGAGCCCGGGGAAGAACGTGAGGAAGGAGGGCACTTGTATTTGAACCCGCAAATGGAGATGTTGCACATGGTAAAGGCGGAGAGAGGGCCGAAGATGATGAAGTTCGAGGCTGAGATTATGGGACGGAAGGTTAATGTGTTGGTCGATAGTGGGTCGACTCTCAATTTTATTAACTTGGACTTCACCACAAGGCTCGAAATTCCAATGACGGGGATCGTACCATTTGGTGTAAAGGTCGCAAATGGCGAAGAACTTTGGAGTTCGGAGCTATACAAGGAAGTGCCTATACAAGTACAAGGAGAAGAGCTCAAGGCAGACTTATTCACGCTAGAACTCGAAGGGTCCAATGGTTGGAGACACTAGGGCCCGTAACTGCGAATTTTAAGAAAGGCACTATGGAGTTTAAGTGGGCTAAAAAACGAATCAAGCTATGCACGAGTGACGAAGGAACCGAGCCGGTCGAATTGAAGAGTCTTCAATTCATTCTCCTTGAGGACAAGGTCAAGCTCAAAGGGGGATGGAATGATGAGGATGTGGTCATCGACCCATTCGAGCCCGAGGACGAGATGCGCATGAGCCATGGGAAGAAGCGCGCAAGAGCCCGGGACAACCATCGAGACCGCGCTAAGAGAGCTCGAAGAGGCTATGAACATGAGACTTGGGCCGACGATGAGAGTGAGAAGATCGTGCAGGGGAAAGTGGGCGAATGGTGTAGAGCATGCGCGAGAGATCGACGCAAGCAACGCATAACGGCTAAAGCAAAAGGTGCACGAGGGGAGGATGTAGGGAGGTTAGCGTGCACTTGGGACGGCTGCGATGAGGCGGACGCACGAGTGAAGTGGGGTGTTGTGATGGGCTCGACGAGCGGGTGCGAGCAAGGCGCGATGACGGGATGATGAAGATGTGGTCATCGACCCATACGAGCCCGAGGATGAGACGCGCTCGAGTCACGAGAAGTGGCGCGAAAAAGGTCGGGACGACCGCCGGGGCCAAGCGAAGAGGGCTCGCGAAGGCTGCGCGAGGGTGAAACACGCGGGGCGTAGACGCGCTGTACGCGGGAGTCGCGTAACCCAGTGCGTTGGAACGGGATGCGCGAGAAAGGGTCGCGACGATGGCGCGATAGGAGGTTCGCGGCAGGAGGCTCACAAGGGGCGAAAGCGCGGGCATGAGGATGGCGTGTACACGGCAGAGGAACCGGGTGGTGCGCGAGGGGAGGATGTTGGGTGGTTAGCGCGCACCGCGGTCGGCCGCGGACGAGCAGTGGGGACCAGCGTGCGGGCTTCACGCGAGACGACCAAAGGCACGCGAGAAGACGCGCGCGAGGAGTGCGCTTGCGAAGAGATCGCATCGGCGCGCAATACGTACAGGCACGCAGGCGCGTGCGGCAACGCGCGAAGGACAGCTGGCGGGTGCATGAGGCGCGAGCGCAAGGACTGGCGAGCATGAGTCTTCGAAGGACTAGGAGTACCGCGACCGCCTAGGGATGAACAGCGCGACTTGGGGCGCAAGGCAGAAAATGCGTTGGACGCGTGGGGTGCGATGGAGTCCATGACCTCGAAGGACAAGGACTAGCCGTCGCGGCTAGGGTTTGGGCAAGGCGCAAGACGCGTGAAGTTTCTAGAAGGCCTAGGGCCGATTTTCCCTAATAACTTAGGACTCATAGTTTGGTTAGGATATGGAATAAAAGGCATGTGCCTAATAGTATCCTAGTAGTACGGTAAGACTTTATTCATTAGATATTTAGTTTCCTTTGGACTTTATTTACTTCCATGCAGTAGGAGTTCTTCTTAGACTAGGATTAGACTTAGTTTGGCATCTATAAATATGCCCCATTGTCATCCGAAAATATCATGTCTTGAATTAATGAAAAAGTCGAACCTTGTGTTCAATTTCTTGTGTTAGATTTTTTTTGAGATTTAGTACAAAAACCTTGTTATGAGAAGGGCGTTCGACCGCATAGCTCGAGCAAGACGAGTTTGGCAAGGACTCACGTCCGAGCTGTCTCACATATCGCGAGAAGACAAGGAGTTAACCTCCGAATCGTCCGCAACCCTCGCCGGAGGCCGAAGCACACGCAACGTCCGAGGCAAGGTCACGAGTCGGGAACACGCGATCCTTCATCATTGGTGCTTTCATTGAGAGAACCAATCGCGTGTTCTTTATCCCATCCCTTTCTTTAAATTTTGAGTCTTAAAAAAAAAGAAAAAGAAATGGCCAAGGAAACGAAGGAGAAGCTCGTGGACTTGGAGGCGAAGATGACGAGCCTAGGCGAAGGGTTGGAGGCTACCAACGCATCCATGACAGACAACCTCACGCACCTCGAGAGGTCGTTCCATTATTCACAACAAGCCATGATGGACGCCATGAACCAAAGGATCGACGAGGTCCTACGCTTCGTTCGGCAACCACCGCCACGGGTCGACCAAGGGCGCGATCACGGGAGTACGAACGCGAGCGACCGGAGTAAGAGGAGAGAGAGGACGACTTCGATTGTCGATCTCACGCCTCGACCAACGTAGGGCGACCTAGGGTCGAGAAGCCGAAGATTGTGCTGTTGACGTTCAACGGACCGATCCGGACGCGTGGCTCAATCGAGCCGTGCAATATTTTCATCTCAATGAGATTGCCCGAGCCGAGTGGGTAAGGTATGCAGCCTACTATCTTGACGGCGAGGCAAATGTTTGGTGGCAGTGGCTCTTGAGTATCTACCAAAACAGCCATGAGCAAATTCGGTGGGAAAATTTTGAGAAGGAGCTCATCACAACGTTTGGCGCATCGGACTACCACAATTATGATGAGGCTCTCGCACACATCAAGCAAACGGGGAGCCTGCGAGAGTATCAAAGGGAGTTCGAGCGTATAGCATGTCGCGTACGCGGATGGCCCGAGGGAGCACTTGTCGGGGCATTCGTAGGGGGATTGAAGTTCGAGCTGGCCGCGGAGGTTCGGTTAATGAGGCCCGCGACGATGCGCGAAGCCATGGAGGTCGCGCGTAGACGCGACGATCACTTGGCCGCGACGAGAAAGGTCAGGCGCAATGACAACCGCCTCACCAAGCCGCAACGGGCATTGCATAGCGAGACCAACCTCACCCGAGACGCGAGCCGAGGAGCGCCTAGCAATTTCAGGCCGCGACTACCAGAGGTGAAGAACTTAACCTATGAGGAAATGCAAAGAAGGCGAGAAAAGGGTCTCTGTTTCAAGTGCGAGGAGAGGTTTACTCCGGGCCATCGTTGCAAACAGGTCTACTTAATCCAAGTGATCAATTTCGAGGATGAACAGACCACGACGGATGAACCCGAACCCGAGGAAAAGCACGATGAAGGGAAGAACTTATATTTAAATCCCCGACTAGAGATGATGCATTTGGTCAAGGCGAAGAAGAGGCCTAAAATGCTAAGGTTTGAGGCCGAGATTTTGGGACGGAGGGTCAACGTGTTGGTCGATAGTGGGTCGACACTTAACTTCATCAACCTAGACTTCATCGCAAAGCTTGAGATGCCCATGACTGGAATTGTACCGTTTGGGGTTAAGGTCGCAAATGGCGAGGAGCTTTGGAGTTCAGAGTTGTACAAGAATGTGCCAATACGTGTACAAGGCGAAGAGCTAAGGGTAGACTTGTATGCCCTAGAACTAGAAGGACCAGAGGTGGTGCTTGGGGCCCAATGGCTGGAGACACTAGGGTCCATAACCACAAACTTCAAAAAAGGCAAGATGGAGTTTGAACGAGACAAGACGCGAATTAAATTGTGCACAATTGACGAGGGATCCGAATCGGTCAAGTTAAGGAGTCTTCAATTCATTATCCTTGAGGACAAGGAAAGACTCAAAGGGGGAAGGAATGATGAAGATGTGGTCATCGACCCATACGAGCCCGAGGATGAGACGCACTCGAGTCACGAGAAGTGACGCGAAAAAGGTCGGGACGACCGCCGGGGCCAAGCGAAGGGGGCTCGCGAAGGCTGCGCGAGGGTAAAAAACGCGGGGCGTAGACGCGCTGTACGCGGGAGTCGCGTAACTCAGTGCGTTGGAACGGTACGCGCGAGAAAGAGTCGCCACGATGGCGCGATAGGAGGTTCGCGGCAGGAGGCTCACAAGGGGCGAAAGCGCGGGCATGAGGATGGCGTGTACACGGCGGAGGAACCGTGTGGTGTGCGAGGGGAGGATGTTGGGTGGTTAGCGCGCACCGCGACCAGCCACGGACGAGCAGTGGGGACCAGCGTACGGCCTACGCCCGAGACGACCAAAGGCACGCGAGAAGACGCGCGCGAGGAGTGCGCTTGCGAAGAGATCGCATCCGCGCGCAACGCATACAGGCACGCGGGCGGGTGCGGCAACGCGCGAAGGACAGCTGGCGGGTGCATGAGGCGCGACGCGCAAGGACTGGCGAGCATGAGTCCTCGAAGGAGTAGGAGTACCACGCCGCCTAGGGATGAACAGCGCGACTTGGGGCGCAAGGCAGAAAATGCGTGGGACGCGTGGGGCGCGATGGAGTCCATGACCTCGAAGGACAAGGACTAGCCGTCACGGCTAGGGTTTGGGCAAGGCGCAAGACGCGTGAAGTTTCTAGAAGGCCTAAGGCCAATTTTCCCTAATAACTTAGGACTCATAGTTTGGTTAGGATATAGAATAAAAGGCATGTGCCTAATAGTATCCTAGTAGTACGGTAAGACTTTATTCATTAGATATTTAGTTTCCTTAGGACTTTATTTACTTCCATGCATTAGGAGTTCTTCTTAGACTAGGATTAGACTTAGTTTGGCATCTATAAATATGCCCCATTGTCATTCGAAAATATCATGTCTTGAATTAATGAAAAAGTCGAACCTTGTGTTCAATTTCTTGTGTTAGATTTTTTTTGAGATTTAGTACAAAAACCTTGTTATGAGAAGGGCGTTCCACCGCATAGCTCGAGCAAGACAAGTTTGGCAAGGACTCACGTCCGAGCTGTCTCACCTATCGCGAGAAGACAAGGAGTTAACTTCCGAATCGTCCGCAACCCTCGCCGGAGGCCGAAGCACACGCAACGTCCGAGGCAAGGTCACGAGTCGGGAACACGCGATCCTTCATCATTGGTGCTTTCATTGAGAGAACCAATCGCGTGTTCTTTATGCCATCCCTTTCTTTAAATTTTGAGTCTTAAAAAAAAAGAAATTGTCACACCCCGCCTTACTACTAGCTTTTAAAAATCAGAGTAAAAATTTTGTTTTTATTTTCAAAAGAACGTGCGAGCTGGGTTTTCGAAAATACTGACTTATTGCGGGATGTGGCAGATAAAAACTTAAACTGAACTCGGGCTTGCCCGCAGACATAATAAAAACATGCAACCAGACTGTCCGCTCGCGGATTATGGAATTATACATGCATAGTCTGTACTGTCTCGCACTGTCTAGAAAAACTCGCTGGCGGAAGCATCCGAAAATACGAATACATAACATGCGTACATAAACTGTATAAAATACACATGATCATAAATCTAGGACATAAAAATACTGGTAAAATATGTCCGACTCTCATGACCACGCTGCGCCACATCTGTGCTCATCCGGCACGCTCGACTCCGTCTCCTGAAAAACACAATGGGGGCGTGAGCAAACCACTATGCTCCGCAAAGACCAGTACTGAACAAAACATCATCTATAATAACGTATCATGAAACATAAATATATAAGAGCTGAAACTGTAAACTGATCTCTGATGTCTGTTCTGATCTGTGGTCAAAAGA